CTTTTAAAGTTGTAGCAACGTTTCGGCAGAATCTCATCTGCCATCATCAGACTTGTGAATTGTGTTCGTCTATTTAAAACCAATGAAAACTTAAGAAAACATATATATAATGATTTGATTTAGGCTTTTAAAGGAGGTTACAAGTAGTCCTTGAATTACAGCCACTCATTCAGCAACTGTTTGAAGATGCAGCAGTGCTAAAAATGGTAGTTCTGCCTTCTCCAAAGTTAGGGCTATTGAAGAGTACTGAAGAGTGCTGTCTTAAGCCCTATGCTGTGGCCAGCTACCCAACACCACAGCACAAAACTTCAGCCGCCTTGCTACCCTGTGGTCCACAGGTGTTGCCATGCCCAGTTGTCCTTTGCCGTCTTCCTGTTGCTGAGAAGGAACATCCTATGTGAAACAGCTTCTGGCTGTGCCAGGCCTTCTTCCCAAGGTTGCCCATGCTGTTCTCAAATAGCACATAGAGGCCACCAGAGCAGGCAGGCCAGCAGGGTAAACAGTGTTGGATGACAGGTTCAACGAAAGTGGTAGAGCGCAAGGCAGCAAAAGGGAAGAGATGGGGGGAAGCTGAGATAGGCAGTTGAGATAGGCAGTTAAAGAGAAGGCTTAACTTACCAAGGCTCAGGGCTGGAGACCAAATTGAACGTGGCTTGGATTGGGATAGTTCTTCCCCTAATGACTTCTGGAATCTGGTTAACAACAGCAACGGGGAGTGCAAAGATTGGCACCACTAAGCAATGAAGTCACATGATATTGCACTTTAAGTCCACATCACTTAGTGATGGAAATTCCAGACCCAATTCCAGTTGTAACTTGATTATTACCTAAACTATAAGCTGGCCTTAACTTTTCTCCTGAAAAATATATGGAAAGTGAAGTTAAACTGATTTCTTACAAATTATTTTGGGACCATTTAGTTATTTTTATTTTATTTATTTATGTGTTTATTAAATTTATATACTGCCCATCTCACAGTCCAAGGAAACTCTGAGCAGCTATGTGCTTTACTATAAATTAGAAACAAGATTTTGAGGCCAAATATATAGCTGATCCACTTTTTTTGGTGAACACATGAATAAAACTTTCATTCAGCATAATGATTCTGATGGAGAAAGATTGGGAAGTAAATTTTGCAAGTGACTTCTCTCTCCAGAGCTCTAGAACATTTATAAAGTCTCTTTGAGTAGAACAAGGAATTTCAAGGGCACTGAAGAAAAAAGTTCACTTTCCTCATTCTGTCAAGAGTTAAATCTGTTCAGAGAAGTAAGGATCCAATTTTAAAAAAGTGGTGTAAATACAATTTTTAATACATTATTTTGGTTCGTACAACTGATACTCTTCTGGGTTACCTTGATTGCATGCCCCTGGTGAACTGAAAGCTCAATCATCTCTATGCTGGTCAGACAGTATATAGTTAATTGGGAATTAAGGGAATGCCTCATGGGAAATGTAGTTAATGCCTCATGGGAAATGTTGTTCATGTTATGTGGTCACATCTGTAATCCTGATTGGTCACTGAATTGACCTCTAGTGGGGTTGGGGGAAGCCTTTGTTCTTTCCTTGCCTGGACCCAGCAGCATGCTGGATCCCTTGCTGTATCATTATGGGATGAAGATAACCATATTTTCACACTATGAAGACGACTATGCAAAGATTGGACATTAGATGAATCTCAACATAACTGTGAGTTATGGATGCCTATTACAATCCAATAAAGAAACTTTGTATGGAAGCCTTTGTAGAGTTTATCTAACTGTCTTTATATTCATCCAGAAAAGTTAAAGACAGAACAATCTCTAACCCATAATGGACAAGCACTACATAAAATCCCATGTACTATCTCCCCAGTCTTATGCCTATGCATTTGATTTTTCTATCCAGATGCAAGGCTTACTTGTATCTTGATATCTACATAGTACCGAAATTCTATTTTATTGTTTGTAACCATCAGTTGGGTGAAATGGTCCTCATAAGGCAACAATTTCAATGTACTTCAAATGAGTTAATGAAATGAGTTAATGAGTTAATAAAATGCATCCAAAATCTAAACCCATAACTTCTATAGGATTGATATTTGACAAAGTTGCTTCAGTGCTGCCATGTTGCCGTGGTTAGTGCAGTCACATTATCATCTGACTTCCTACAAAGAAAGTCAGTGGGGAAGCAGGCAGGAAGTCAGGAGTCGTTCCTGCTGCCACTGCTTTTTTGTATGCCCACAGTCATTCCGTTTCTCTGTTTGGGGTATGGAAGTATCTCTAAAATGATGACTCAATGGGTCAGAGACTGTCCAGTTATAACCACACATTTAATCATTTCTATTTCATTTCATTACACACACACACACACACACACACACATACATACATACACAATATTGAGTCAAATCAGGTGACTGTATAGACAAATGACAAATGATAATGACCTTAACCAACCTTGTAAATCTTCCTAGTGCATTTTCAACTAGATAAACTGTTATTTAAGATAGAAAGTTTTCATACCCGTTAACAGGATCCACCACGATTCCTCGAGGGTGAGACATGCCACCTTCCAGTAGAGTTTTACGACTCTGAGAAGCTTTCTCTAGCCTGGCAACATTAATTGTTTTCCTGTAACCATCATTTGTCCAAAACAAATTATTTCCAATCCAGTCTATTGCAATGCCTTCTACATTATCGAGATCTGTGTAAACAAACAAGATATATATAATTTTATGTGTGTGCATATGAATGTGTATAATATTATAATATCTTTACTAGTATTCTCAATATAATTCAAGTCATTAATATAATCATAAATAATTATAGTTATTTATAATTATAATTGCTGTTGCATTTCACAAAATGGTAACCAATAACAAGATAAAGCTAATACATCTTTTATAAAAGCCTAAGCAAATAGTGACCATAATCTGACTATAATCATAATATTCATGATACTGAGTATTTAAACTGACCAGTTATAAAGTACAAATAGCTTTGAACTTATTGTCTGCAGCATGAATCAAGGGGCAAGACTTCGAAGCAAGAAATATATGAAAGTGAAAGGGGTTAATGACCAAGCAACAGCAATGCAGAATCTAGAACAATTCTTTATAATGGAACCAAGTTGCGCTGTTGACAATTTTCTGGAATGTTGTGGATTGCAATGCTGTAAACTATCTTATGTTGTTGTTGTTTTTCCAAAATTTCGATATTTGATTTATATCCAGCCTTTTCTTTCAGGAGTTTAAGGTAGCATGAAGAATGGTTCAAATACCTTCCTGGCATAGCCTATCTAAAAGCATTAGAGAATCAATAATTATCTCTTAGTAGCTTCTTTTATCATAATAAAAAATATCCTGGCAATAAAATAATAATGGTGCCAAAACATACGCATTGTAAATGAATGAAAGATTATGGTAATAAATTAACAGTACTTAATGGATAATACTGTGTTAGTGCAAATAATTATATAGATCGTATCTGTTGGGGAATAAACCTAGTTAGCTTATCTAAAGTACCAGTAACTATTACCTATATGTGTATATGTATGTGTATATTGTGTGTGTGTGTGTGTGTGTGTTTGTGCATATCTATATTAAAAAAACCTAAGCAAGATAGGGAACACATTAAGCCAGTTGGATCATTAGAATAACAGCTGTTTAGAATATATAACAGTTCATCAAGTATTCCCAATAAGATATCTTATATTTTCATTTGTTTCTATATTTTTTATTGAGTAGCATCAAAAATGATATTTTCAAGAGTAATTAAACATGTAAGATACTGCAATATATTTAGCTGAAAACCAGGCAACTTTCCAACATGGTTTATTAATTTGTTGTTTTGCTTTTGAACTTTCAAAGAAAAATGTAGTATAGACTGTGCAACATTGTGCTAAAACCAGATTACATATTGAAACTTCATATTTCTAACTCATTGCACATAATTGTTTTTCTAGTATTCCATGATAACCAAGGAGACATTTCTATAGGTTTTAAAGAAAGTAAGGTGATGCATTGTAACATTAAAAAATAAGAAAACATCTTAGATCTACATAATAAGAGAATATAAATGCTTTAAGAAGTACTGCAGAAAGAGGAAGAATTCTTATTCTCCATATTAAATCAGAATTAATATTAAGGAATATAGAAGAAAATATCTCTTGACAAAGTTGTTGAGTGTGAACTGGGAGTGCAAAGTTCCCCAAATTTTATTTCTATATATTACACAGGAAGGGTGGAAACCACACTCCCAAAAAATGCAACAGCAATTTTATATATATATAAAATATATATATAGTGTGTGTGTGTGTGTGTGTGTGTGTGTGTGTGTGTGTG